TCCAACATCACGCCTAGGTATTTAACTCATTCGCGTGTGTTAAGCACCTCTCCTGTCAAAGTTATGCTAAAATTCTTTGAAACTCAATTTCATCAATAAAATGATCTCAGTTTTATCCTACGCTATCTGCAGACCGGAGTCTTCACACCATTTTAGGATCGTCTTCATGTAGAGATTCAAGATGCCCTCCACACTTTCTTTCTTCTTCAGACCCACCATGATAGCAAGGTCGTTTGCAAATGCAGTAACTCTGAAATTCACATAATTATCAAATCTGGTCAACAGGCCATCATAAACTAGATTCCACAAAAACGGGCCTATCACAGAGCCCTGTGAGACACTCGCAAAAATTTGTTTAACGATAAGACCACTAGAACTACAAATCGGCCCTTGAGGTAGTTCATGAGAACCCTCGTCGGATTATAGGGAAGATTCCTACGCTTCGCCTCTTGCAGGATTACCTCCCACTGCAGGGAATTGAACGCGTTTTTAACATCAATGCACATGACGCAGACCATGCTCTTCATTCCGCAGGAATCGGCGAACTTTCAGACTTGCGTGATGACATCGATGGTACTCTTCCCTCTGCGAAACCCAAATTGATTTCGATGGAACGGGTCCATGCCCAGTTTCTTCTCGATGGCCGACTTGAATGTATTTTCCAAAACTTTACTCATCGCCGATAGGATACTTATTGGCCGATGCGACGAGGCCAGCCTGGGATCCTTACCCGGTTTATTGAGCAAGATCAACTGGGCCACATTCCATTTGGCTGGAACTCTTCCCGTCTCATAAATAGATTTCACCATATTGTGCAGATCGTGTGCCCGATGCTCGAAAATCCACTTGAAAACGTTCCCGGCACCCTGTCGGTCACAACGGGCTTGTTCTCATTCAGCAAGCCAACCGCTGCTCTTAGCTCGTCCATTTCACCACATCACCAGCTCGTCCCACCGCCATTATCCTCTGTCACGTCCTTATTCGCGACGCCCATGTCCTCGATTAAGAAGAGTTTACCGATAATGTTCTCAGCCTGCTCCCTCCCCAGACTCACATTCTGCTTGCTCCTTCTAAGCCTGGCTATGACTCTTTTATAAGGCAAGCCCCGCGGATCACGGTCGAGGGTATCTGCGAACTCCTTCCAGGCCAGCCTCTTACTCGAATAGATAGCTGATCTGTGCCCCTTCTTGCTCTTCCTATAATCGGCTCCCAACTGGGCGGCACACTCCTTATTTCTACACCTCGACCTCTGCTCTAATCTCCTCTTCTTGACGGTCTTCCACCGGAGCCGCGCAATGTCGTCGTTCCACCAGTAATTTGGGTTTCTACTCCCCTTAGGGAGAAATACTTTCTTGAGTGAAGCCTCACAAGATTCTTCGATAATCCGCTGCAGATAGTCCTCTTGTTTTATTGTCTCCCTCAACTGTGCTTCCATTGTTTTATTTTTTGTATCGTCAAAACTTCTTAGAAACGTCCTTCGTCGAATATTTAAAATGTCCTTTGCTTTTAGACCGAGCCCATCCTCTGAACTCGCGCAAATGAACTCGCACTCTGAGGTCAGCTTCACTCCCTTTCCTCTCCCTACATACCCCCGCGTACGTGGTATCGCCCCTCTTAGCCCTTTTGATATCAGCAGCCTTTCTATCCTCTAACGGCGGCACAACTTTTCTTTTGCTGCTGTGCTCCACCACCTTCCTCGTACCCACGCTCCCTGTTTCGACATGGGCCATAGGAGGGCAAGTTTGCGTCGAGATGTTAACCTTGGCGGGCCTATCCACTTGTCTCCTACCTCTACGACTTACTCCATACTTCCTTCAGCTTTTCCCACACATCGTCCACTTTCTTATCGGCCGACACTGCCATTTCCTCTATCTTTGGGTCCCTTCTGGCATATGTATAAAGCCTACTGAGTACACCGCGCTTTTTGTATCAGCTGCTGCCATCAAACTCTTTATCTCTTCCCACTCGTCGAGTCTGAATAATACGCAGTTTGCTGTTTCCGACTCGACTCTTGATACACTCTTTTTGCTCTTCATCGCCGCTCTAGGGAGTAGTTCCCTCAATTGCTTGGCTTTAGACACCATCGGAGTGTTATAGTTGCTATTCTCCGAGACAGAAGCCTCTTCTTCAGACGCGCTAGCCGTCTCTTCGACTGTTTCACTGGCCGATTTCGACCAAATTCGACCAGGTTACAAGAGAACTTCCCTCTCCCCCTATGGCTTCTTTCACGACCGGAACTAGAAATCCCTCCTTGTCGGTAATAACCGAGACTATTCTCGGCGTCACCCGTCCACCACTGGTCTTTGGGCTGCCAGAACTCTTCTTCTCCACCACCTCTCGTATCTCATTTGTGAACTCCAGGAGCTTGGTATTCCTCTTGGGGATGGGGGGGAAGTATTTAATTGAGTCAACCTCTTCAATAGTAATTACAATACTTATAAGCATTAACACTTTACCAATAATATAATTATTACTCACTATTATCATGCTAAAATTAGAACATGTATATTTCTGGTAGTTTATACTTTTAATACTTTTAATATTTATACTAATTGGTTCTTAATAGTTATTAATAGTTGGTTCGGCTCTAGATATTATTTAATTAATGTTCAACAACTTCACCACTATAGTCGCTTATCTATGTGCCAGTCTATGATTGTTTATCCGTAGCCCTACTCAAAATGGCGGCTGCAGAATCAACACGTGTCATAGTGTCATAAAGTCTATATAAATTTCACTTTACGCAACACTCGGATTAATAACAGTGCATTATCCCAGTACTTACAGATCGCAAATCCACACATAGAGCTCGGTCATGTAATCTGCCACTAGCGATGCCTTAACATCCCCCTTCGATGATTGCTAATTATCACACTATTACTCATTCACTAACAACTTACAATTGTTATAATAATAATTGGGGATATAACAACTCACATTAACGGTAACTACCAGAATTCATTATTTAATGGTATTAAATATGTCGGAGATGAAAGAACACCGGAGCCTTTGGAATTTTGGATAATCCCGCAACATTCTAACCTAGAGTCTACTATAGCTGTAATTAAACAATTGTAGTTATTCAATCCGATTATAATTGTTCGAGAGTTGTGATAATGAGCTTGGGCTCGAGGCGACAGCCAGTCACCGAACGTAGCAGCGGTCACGGGATGAACGCCTTGTCTAACAGAGGCATGGAATAATTCTATAGCTCTCCTTGAAAAGGAAATAGTTGTAACACTCGACAGTAAACATTCCAACGGTCTCTGTCCCGTAGCTCGCCACACGCAGACCCTATTCTTCGAGTCAGATGATTGCCAGATGTCGATGCGTCTCCGCAGTACATGTTCGGCTAGCCCGAGGGCCCGTTATAAATCTTAAGGTTTAGTTAACTAAAGTCCTTCAAGCAGACAAACAGTCTCTGTCCCAACAGAAATACCAATAGAGATACTTGACAGTAAAACATTCCAACGGTTTCTGAGGACAATGAATACCTGATGTTGAGGCACGTACACAGCGCAAGTCCAGTTAGTCCGAGGACCCGCTATAAAACCTGGGTTTTTCCGGCAATTGAGATTTTCCAAACGGACAGACAGTCTTTGTCCCAAACTGACCAATTGACAGCGACGTCAATTTCCCTTACTTTCGGAACGAGGGCTTTTCTCGACAAATCCGATGATCTCGTGTCCTCAGACACACCCCATCATAGTTTTCCTCTGTGGCATCATCGGGGCGGGAAAGTCATTCTCTCTCGCGATCTCATCGACGAAAAGAGTAACCCTTTACGACCAGTGAATATTGCGCGTCCGATTTAATGGGTATTGCACATTTTCGTAAAGAGTCTTAGATTTTTGTGAGCACGTACATCTGTCATCCCGTTGACCACAGATTCGTTATTGAACCTAAAACCAACATCACTAGTATCGCGAGTGTCCAACCGCGGCGGTTGATTGTCGAGTCGGTAATATCCATACTCGTGTTAACAGACCGTATCTTCGTTATAACACAATGATGGCCAACTCCAAGGGAAGCCTATCAAACGCCCACAACCCAGTTCCTGACTCTTCTCCGACAAATATATACACTTCATTAATTTCGTACTAGCTCTGTCAATATCGCTTGTTATGATAATTGCTTATCAGGTTATATTTATCTTTACATATAAACATTATTTATTTACATTATTTATTTACATTACCTATTCCTTAGCTACACTTGTACAACAAAATTTAACTAGGACGTTACCCCACATCTTCCTCGTCGAGTGTCGTATTGTAGGTGATTTCCTCCCTGTCACATTCTTCGACCTCCATTTGCAGCGGTCTGTGTCCAATAATAAATAAACAATTTAAGATCTCTTTGACCTTGTTAATCGTCACGTCATTCGGAAGACCTTTCTTGTTGCATCTACTCATGATTGTGCGATACGGTTTTCTCCATAGGTCCATTTCTAAGATCTCGCAGAATCCGGCCCAAGCTCTCTTTTTGCTACCAGCAATTTCTTTCTTCAACTGACTCCTTATCTCCTTATAGGCGCTGATAGGAACATCAATCCCACTGGCCTCCTTCTTCCTCGCTCTAGTTACTCTTCTTAATACTTTATGAGCTTTATGAGTCTCATTCCACCAATGGTTGCTGTACTTCCTATTCGCCGTACAGATCACCTTCTTCAGCATCTTGTCACATGTTTCCACCATACATTTCTGTAAAAGCTCTGCCATGTCCGTCCGTGGTATTAAAATTCTCTACGTTAGCGATCTCATCAAATTTCGTTAAAAATATGTCGGGTGCAAGACTCTTCGTCACATATTTAAAAAATTTGGTTCGATCACTTACGGTCCCCGTTTTAAAAGTATGAAATATATATAAGTGAACCGATGCTGTGAAAGCATTTAAAACCTTACTCCTTACGTTGAGGTCGTTAACTTTGTTTGTTGCACTGATTATGTCAGGGCAACTCGTCCTTCCGTTCCTATAAAACGTATATTTATCGTCCAGCCTTATAGGGAACGCACTGTAATCGCACAGGGTTTCCATGAAAATTCTTTCTCATCTGTGGTTTCTCCTCCCCAGCAAGTGGACTTAGCGTTAAAGTCGCCAGCCACAATCAATTTCTTGTTTCTGTTTACACCATTCCTTATCTCCGATGCAAGCTTATTTATGTACATCATGTATTCCTCTATCTTGATTTTGGGGGTGCAATAACCACTGAAACAGAGGATATCACCTACACCAGTATCCATTAGTCTGTCCTTCCTGTACAGAAGCGTTTCATCCGGTGCTCGACCATTGAATTGCGTGACCCAAATCGAAGCATCACCCTTATTATCATTATACCAGTAAGGTAGCTGCCTGTACGGTTCGGATATTATTGCCACATCCGGTGTAGCCTCGATCGCGCTTTGGCACATTAGATCCTGCGCCATCCTACATCTACATTCAAATTAATCTGGAGAATTTTTATCTCCTCCCTTGTCTACCTTGTCGTAACATTTTCCCGTAACTGGGGCATGCTAGGGACCCCGTCACATGGTCAAATCTAATACCAGTCTCCTTGCTGCATTTCGCACAGCACGGTAAATGTGGACATCCTGCTATTGTGTGGTCTCTTCCTCCACACTTCCTGCATACCTCCTTTCCTGGACTTACAGCCTTACACTTATTTGCAGTATGCTACCGACACCTTGTCTTGTAAAGGCGTCGCTCGTACCTTATCGCTCGTAGCTTATCGCCAATAAGCTTGTTTATCTTATTGCAGCGACTTTCATCTCGGCGCCAGCCCTCGTTTCTATCAGATGTCCCCGGCTCTTGTTCTACGAATACCTGAGCTTTCCTTAAGAACATCCTTCGCCACCATGAGATCTTTACACACCTGTAGCCATTCCTTGTCCTCTCCTACTTTAATAAGGATGGTCTTCGGCCTTCTACGAACTCTCGGCATCTTCGGCCCTCGATTCTCGGTAGGCGGCGGCGGCGGTGGTCCGCTGTCCTCTTTGTCATTTCCTATCTTTTCTTTTATCCTTCGTTTCTCTCTCCTGCCCATTTGGATCGTCCACTCGTCTGCGGATTCGCAGGCTTCAGCATATCTGGTATCCATAGCACTCTTCTTCTTTGAACCGCATACCTCTGCATAAGAAGTATCGCTTCTTCTTATTCTCATATTGCTCTCTTTTTCATTAACTTCCAGCGGGGAGACTATCTTCCTTTTATTTCTGGATTCTGAGGACATTCCTCTTCTATTGTCCCCATTTCCTCTTCCTGTCTCCTCTATCAGAGGGGAAGTTTGTGTAGAGACCTCTACCCCCTCAGGTCTCTCCACTCTTCTCTTACCTCTCCTTCCTTTCTTATTTAAGGACGTCATAAGCTTGTCCCGGTCTTCATCCATCTTCCTTTAGCCGCGGAAGCAAGCTCTTGAATTTTTGGATCCTTCTTGGAGATGAGGTGTAATCTTCTTACTGCATTCTTCGGATTCTCGTAAGCTCCCCTCATGAGGTCTACTATCTCTTCGAACTCGGCAGGCTTGACTATAACACACTCCTCCGCCTTTTGTTCCGGGGTTTTCTCGACGTTCCTTGCAGTTTTCGGCGCCGATTTCATTTGCGCCTCTCTCAGTCTTCTCAATTTTCCTGAAATCGGCGTGGCGCTAGAGCTGCTTTCCGACATGGGAACATCCCCTTCGGAAACGCTACCCTCAGCTGATTCACTCGTTGATTTCGCGGCGATACTGGACCACGTTACCATTGAAGTATTTTCTTTACTTTTAACTCCTCTCATTACGGGAGCCAGGAAACCATCTCTTCCTGTTGCAACCGCCATCACTCTCGGTACCCTCATCCCTACCGCTACTTATATTCTGGGTGCCCAGGTCCTTCTTTTTCATCACCTCTCTGATGTTCTCGCTAAACTCAAGGAGTTTTGTATTCATCTTGGGTGATCGAGAACTTCCTTTACTTTCTCCTCTCCTCTTTGCGCTGCCACTCGCGACTTCCCCGTCGCTCTCATTGCAGCTATAATGGTCCCCGGTCGTATTTACCGAACGAGAGGTAGCGCCGGGACACACTCTCCTCTCGTCGTTTGCCCATCGCTCAATGACCGTCGGGTGGGGCCTGGTACACCACTCGATGTCCCGACGGGGCCTGGGAGCTCCGAAACCCCCTGCGCCTTATTGTTATCAATAATTGACTTGTCCATAGTAATATTTTAGGTACATAGTCCGTGAATATAGCCGTAGTCGTCATCAGCCTTGCTCAAAAACCGTCCAAATATATCCTATCATAAACCAAAAACTCGCCAAGTTGTCAACGAAGCCAACCGTAATATACATGTTAATAAATAATATATAGGTACATAAATAACCTCAATTACATATAGCTATAATGTGTTAGAAATAAATAATATTAAAAATTATAAAACTATAATCTTCATTTCATCAAACTGAACGCCTGTCGTTCTAATAATAGACCTAATGATGCGTGCGTAAATCGCTACATATATAAATAAATAATAAAATAATAAAATAAATGACGATAATAACAAAACTAAATAATAATAAATAAAACAACATACAATAATAAATAAATGAATAACTAAATAAATAAATAAATAGATAATAACTAATAATAAATAACAAAATAATAAATAATAAATAAATAAATAAATAATTAAAAGAATGCACCTAACAATTGCATTCTCCAACCTACTAGTCGCCACGCAACTCAAATAAAATCTCCACGTTACGCAGCACACCATCACTTATTTATTTACAAAGAGAGTTCGGCTCGAGTAATAAAATAATTAAAATGAAATAAAATAAGATGATGTATAAATAGAACTCTGGTCGACCCGACTTTATTCCTTCATAATAGGAACTTACGTTGAGCCGACCGTACATACTCTCGAGCGATGTCCGTAAGGTGGCGACGACACGCATCGATGCAGCGAACCACCTCACCTGCGCATCGCTTCACGCCAACGCATGTGTAACGTCAATTCACATCAGAGACCAGGCCATACACCACGGACAGGATGGCACCCAGATGTCTGCATATCCTTGGCGCGCACCCTCAATAGTCTTAAGTGCCCACCAGGGGCCTTGGCATTTTTATAGTTAAGGTCCTTCGGACCAAGCGAGTATTTCCTGTCTTAGATTTCCCTTTACGTTTATTGTCTACCACGTGTTAGCTTAGAAAGTTGGTTTTCTCCACATCTGGTATGTTCCGTTGGCAACTTTCTCGCGAGGGCGGCTAAAACCCTTCCTGGTCCACCAACCGTCTTATTATCCAATCGGAGACGGTGTCTATTGCCCTCACTTCCTTAACCAAAATTGTCATCAACAAATCCGATAGTCCCGTGTCCTTAGACACACCCACCCCTAGCTTTCCTCAGACACAGTATCGTCAGTAAAAATTCACTTATTCTGTATCCTTAGAATAGTCAACATATCTATATCGGTCTCTAGCCTTATAAGTCGCGTACTTAATGTATTGTTGTAACTAAATCTTACATAACGTGGTTGAAGTGAATTGTGATTTATGCTAATTCAGAGCGTGTTACATTGTGATTGGTGAATTCACAATAAAGGTTGATTAAAACAAAGTTAATTATTGTGTTACGACTCAACTATATTTTATTTCCACCAACCAACCCTAAAAATTACGTGACACATGCGTCCTAATGCCACCCATCACGCAAATGGCGTCCATTCTACACACGTGCGCGGCTTTATAGTAAAACTATTTCGCATATTTGCCGCTTCACAAAGTGACGTGCCATCGCGAGTGTTATAATAACTCCACAATAATTTGAAAAACAAATCTTACTCACATATCCGCCCGAACCTGCAATCTCTACGGCGAATAGGGAAGCGTTTCCAGGAAGTGCACGTGTGTGTTGGTATTTAGCGAATATTATTACTAAAATCCCATTATCGCTTATGCATTACCCGCAACGCGTGAATATCTTACATTACACGTTACTCAGTGTGCTGTTAGTTTTATAATGACAAAGCGAAATACCATCCGTAACCCGAGCAAATGGTGAGAAAAATGATGACAACAGAGTCGAACGCGACATGGTGCGTATATTCTAATACTCTCCTAGACCTTATTATTTCAATTAACATAAATAAAGTAAGAATAGTACTTACAGGTCTCCGCATAACCTCCTACAGCCACTGCATTGCGTGACACGTCCCACTTCTCCATCAGAGATATAAAATACTGCACCACCTCACGCCCACCAGCAACTGTCCATTTAATAATCATTCAAATCAGCACAGATATCACTTATAATAAACTTCCTGTGTAAGCATTTGCAGTGAGTACCCAGCTTTCATTGCAGAGACTTTTACCCTTCGCTAACTCACATAAGCTTTCTACGCAATCATCGACTAGTTTGTCACTGCCTCTAAAGTAAGTACATCCCTCATATATAATTATAAGTGAGCAGGAGGTAAATATACACATAAATATCTATTTGTCAGAATGTCATATAGTCACTATACCTAACTCATCGCTATATAATAAAATAGCCTAATCTAAAGATAAACTAAATTACAGTACTATGTCGATGACCAATTACTAGATAAACTAAGTAAGTAAGCAAGTAATATAATCTCCTTCACTAAAAACTCATTCGATACCTATTTACAGGCATCAAAACCGGCTTCGCCTGATGCTAAGCCATCATCCATTTATCACTACCTCGTAGAAGTAAGTACGTCCTCATATATACATACAAAGTAAGATATATAACACATAACTATCTATTGTCAGAATGACATATAATCACTATACCGTGCTCCCCAATCTAACCCCAACCTTTTTTTCTACACGGTTGTCTCCCTGACGCTTGGTAAAGGGTGCATTCGGGGTCTCTTGCGAAGTTCTACCAGGGTGCCCTCTGTCGTCTGTCTCCTCTGTTTATGTTTAAGGGAGGCTGCCTTGTGTGCTTCGGCCATCCAGTTCCCCAGGGGCCATCACTTCAGAGGCGAAAAATGGCTTCGGCGCGTCTCCGTCAACACCTCACGGAGCGGTCACCCACCATGGATCGCCCCGTGACCGCTGCTGCTTAAGTTTCGTGATCAGCCGGGGACGAGTATATCCAGCGCGGCTAATGAACGTTGTGTCACGTCCCGCGCTACGCACGTGCCGTAACGAAAAGACGGAAAACCGCAATATAAAAATAACGCGAGCGACAATTCAATATCCAAAACGAACACACGATACAACGAAAACGGAAATTTTTTAAATAAAAGTTTAATTAAATGTAGTCATATATAGAGAAATAGTATACGAGGGCAAATAAGAGATAATAAAGTTAAAATAGGTACTCTAACGAAATAGTAAATATAAAGAGTACAACATAACCTATAATTTCATAATCCGACTAAGAATAAACTATGAAGAACCAATTAACCAAAAGTGACTCGCAAATTAATTAATAAATCACAACATAATACTATATTCAATCAGGATAACCTACAATTCGACAATTTAATCAAATCTCGTAATAACTTCATGAATAATTCAAAGGAAAGGAAAAAGGAATGGAACGATAGGAATACACACCTTTATAACAAACAGGAAATATCAAGCAATTTAATATACAGCAAATATGGACATACAAAACCACAATAAACAAAATATATCTTATATACAACCAGATATAAAATATATAAAACACCTAGGCATATTAACACACTTCAATAAACCAGGCGGTATTGTCAGAATCCACACACGAAACGTCAAAATTAAAGTAAAAGGGATTCCACGAACAATACACTCGAAGAAGTTAAAACTAACACAATCGAAACAGACCACAAGAACGATTTCAAGAGACAATGTAGTACGGTAGTATATGGAACAACACTGCTTGTCGAATACTGCAGATAGTGGTAACCTAAAAGGGAAAAGGAAAATTACTATGCGTGCTCTAACTATTACTTAAATATAAAATGTGTAATTCAATAAAATAATTACAAAACAGTGGAAGTGGAAAATACCACTTGAACAATTACTCATCGTAGAAGGAAGTGTATATGCGAAGATAGGTTATCTGTCCATATCCGTAGAACATAATCTGCGACAGCCAGCTGAAACAAATGTAGGAATTAACTTTAATTGTTTCGATACAAAACATAATACTACTAAATGTTTATAACAATATTGTGCCTAACTCAAAGGAAGTGTGACAATGCTTATCAAATCATGCAGATAGTAGAAACGTAAAAGAAAAAGGAAAATTATTATGTGTGTGTTCTAACCATCATTTAATTACACAACATGTTAATTCAATAAAATAATTAAAAGCAGTGAAAGTTAAAAGCACCTAGTGCACAATTAATTATCGTAGAAGGAAACGTACATGCAAACAACAAAATTTTAAATTTTAATCTTATTGAATTTATTTTCTGTTTGAATTAAGTTTAATTGGGAGGGAAATATTGAAATGATATTATTGTGTATGAAATATTGATTTAGATTTCTGATTAATACGGTAGTTGCTGCCACCAGAAATAGTCTAAGGATTATTTCAAAAAATTTTGTTTTTATTATTACTATTATTATTGTTTCTCTTCAAGTTAAGAGTATTAGTGTGTGATGGGTATTGTTCGTCTATAATGTCTTTGATAACTAGATTGAATTCCCAGTCTGGAAGTGCATCTGTAGCACGTTCTTGGCTGTAGGAAGACAAATCTTTGTACATTCGTCTGTCGCGTATTTCCTGAACTTCGTAAGAGTTTTATCCGGTAATTTACGTATAATGGGTAGCGCTAACTAACGTTTAATGCAACTGGCAAATGAATTCCACTTTTCGGCTAACCTGCTATGCGCAGCAGTACTGGCACGGGAGAGGATTAAAGTTATTCGGAATAGACAATTGATATTGCCAAATATATTTATTTCGTCCGATTGAGTTATATTGATGTAAATATGTTATAATTTATTCGATTTTGTCGATTAAAGGTGTTACAATGTCGGTTATAAGTATCGTCGGATACAAATTGGTAACTAGATTGAATTCCCAGTCTGAAAGTGCATCTGTAGCACGTTCTTGGCTGTAGGAAGACAAATCTTTGTACATTCGTCTGTCGCGTATTTCCTGAACTTCGTAAGAGTTTTATCCGGTAATTTACGTATAATGGGTAGCGCTAACTAACGTTTAATGCAACTGGCAAATGAATTCCACTTTTCGGCTAGCCTGCTATGTGCAGGGATACTGGCACGGGAGAGGGTTAAAGCTGGGTACAATAAATATTTGTCCTCGTTGAACGGATTTTTATTTGAATGTAGAATTGCTTAGATTATTACCTATATATATATTTTATTAGCTGGATATATATATTTTAGCGTTGCTGGATTGGATAGGAATGCGAGATTTTTCGTTGTTTTATATAAATTTATTTTTACGTTTGACTTCTTTTCACCTTTAATTTCGCTATAGTAGTTTGTCGTTAGAACCGAAGCTCAATTCATTTGCTAGGATGGATTCTGTTGCCACGATTTTCTTGCCTTTTGAGTTTAATAATCGAGGATAATTCTAACGATCCTCTCTGTGTGGGACTCGTGTGACTTCGCAAGCCTCGCCCAACGAGTGGGACTCGTGTGATTTCGCAAGCCTTGCCCAAAGACGGGCAATATTTTGCCAACATTGGGAGGAGGAATGCGAAGATCAGTGGGTCTTTCAGTAGCTGAAAACACCGTTCGCACAAGCCGACACAGCGGACAACCCCTTTGTTTAAAGTTTAAACAATGATTCTATCTTCAAAACCCTTCACGGAAATAAAACGAGATCGATGATAGGAAGTTCTAATTCGATTCTCGAGGGCAACGAAATTACCAGAGAAGAAGGAAATTTTCAAAATTAATTTTCTTACCTTGAGAAATAGGTGCTGTCTGTTCAAAATTAATTTTCGTACCTTGAGGAATAGGTGCTGTCTGGCGCCATTACTTCAGCTGCTCCGGTGGTCGTCGGTGTTTTTGTTGGGTTTATTATTTGAACTCGGATATAGCTTATTACCAACTTTTACTTTATTTATCTATTTCGATACAGGCTGAACAATTTACTAATCGGATTAATACCGCAGTTACAATGGTACCGTAGTTACAATGCGCTTTTTTGTCTAAGCGATGAAATGAGGACCTCAAAGATAAAATTTTTCTTTTACTTAATCGCGACTCTCTTTTCTTGACCGAAAAACAAAAGAACCCGAAACGCAAAATACTATACAAAATTTCTAAACGTAATGATGAGCGCAATAACGAACGTAGTAACAATGAACACAAAGAGTGAACAAACTAATAATGAATTCAAAGAAATGAATCACAAATAATAATGAGCACAATATGGTACGTAAATAATAATGAGCACAAAGAATGATTAAAATAATAATGAGCGCTGCGCTATGTTGCTACGCTTATATATAATGCCATCCCCCACAGGGTGGTGGTCCACTGGGGGTACGCTTCCGTGGGAATCGGGATGTTGCAGTTTGGGTTTCTTGGAATCGTACGTGACAGAATGTAAATTCCATATTTCGACTTAGTTTCCATCGCTCCTGTGTTTCTGCTGAGCTAGCGTCTAGGAGACTTGAAGCATTCCATGCTGATCTAGTTTTTTCCGCGAGAAACTTCTATGTTTTGTACCGTGGGAATTACCCGTGTTTCTTCGGCGCGTGCAAGGGCTGGCGGCTGCAGCATCATTATCATCTCGATGTTTGCTCGGGCAACACGCACAATTCCGCTGCTCTCCCACAACAAGGACCTTCTTCTTCGAGTTATTTTGCGTAAGTTTGGATATTTCCATATTATGATTGTTTTTGCGATTTTGATGCTTTTTCCTTTTTTTGTTGTTTCCCTAGGTTTCGGTGATCGACGTTCGAACAGTGTTTGCGGAGGCATTTCCATCAGAGGTTCCTTATTATTATTTTTTTTTAAATGTATTTTGTTTTTATGTACGATATATATATATTTCTATATTTGTATTTGACAGTGTAGTTGCGCATAGAATTTATTAAAAAAAAATGTTAACAATATGTTTTCACGATTTGTTTTTCGCGCCTGATTTCCATTAATCCCTAATATTCCCGTCGCCATGACGCGCGTTAGTTGTTCCGATGCGCACGTGTAAATCTAACATGGCTGCTCATAAATGTCATGAGTAAGGTTATACTGGCGGGTCTTTAGTTTTGTTTAATATCGAAGTAATTTTCCGTCTGCCGCACGTTTTTCCTTATTCTACCGCAATTAGAACATTTATTCATTAATATTGTTTAAAGTGACAATAGTATTGTTCGTGTGAATATACATATATATGTCGGAGATGAAAGGACACCGGAACCTTCGGATAGCCCCGCAACATTGCAATCTAAAGTCTACTACAACTGTAACTAAACTATTGTAGTTATTCAATCCAATTCTAATTGTTCGAGATTAGTGACGGTGAGCTTTGGCTCGAGGCGACAGT